TAGTCCGTAGTTCTGAGATGCAGCACACAGTAGCAGAGCAGGAGGTTAAATACTTGGGCCAGCCAGCATTTGTCATTGCAGATAAGTGGAAAGCCTGTGGTTTAAACTGTTCCTAGGCCTTTCCACTTGAATTAGCACAGTACTGCACATTGCCTCCTAAAGCAGAAGCTGCTTAGGCACACTAGGTACAGGAGGTGGAAGCCTTACCAATGTGCTGAACACCCCATTAATGCCACAGTTACCCTGTTGCTGCATTGACTCTGGCATGTGTCTGCCTGGCTAAGAATGCAGGTAAATTCACAGGTGTCTGCACCTTTGCTTGCATGAACTTTATGATGAAGGCAGTAAATATATCTAATCTTCCACTCTTAGTCATTAAAATTTCCTGTGGACTGCTGGTATTACAATTTAAGTAATCACTAGATAGCATGATGTACTTAGGAGTGGAGACAGAACTGAATTTGGTGCGACTGCTTCTCCAGCAGCTTAGGGACTCAGTAAGGATATTGTACGTGTATGGTTTCAGATCAAAGCAAAAGAGAGAGTGCCAAGTACTGCTGGATAAGTATCACATTTACAAGAGCCTCCTCCTGTCACTGGTCTCTGACAGAGAGGCAGGGCTATCCTAAATACTGCATTAAAATCCTCTGACAAAGATATGTGATATTCCCTAGCATGATTTTGAGGTATTTGAGCATGATTTGCATTAAACTAAAACCTCTTTTAGAGCTTTCATGTGTAAGAGAACGAAACTTGTGTTTGCTTTTTTTAGCAGCAGGAGTTCAACATTCAGATAACTCCACTATTTATTTGAATTTGCATTATTGGCAGCATTTCTTCTTTATAGAGAAAGTGTTTTTTCTCAATATCAAGCCCATATAGAGATGGCTGGGCAGCACTTTTTCTCAGGAACTTTCCTGTGCCCAGCTTCAGTGGCTGTAACTGCACCTGTAAATCTCACATTTTTTTTAGGTGAGATGGGACTCTGAGCCTTGCGGGGAGTGTGGGGGGGGTTAGGAGTAAGGGGAAAGGGGGTTGCCCATAGTGTCTCTTAAAGCAGCCCACCAAAAAGACTAATGATTATTAGGGTTTGGTTTTATGAGATTATAACCTAGAACAATGATCTTTCTTAAAGAGAATATTCTGAATGAGACAGTAGATACGCTCCATCCTTGGAAGTGCTCAAGGCCAGGCTGGATGAGGCTTTAAGCAACCTGGTCTAGTGGAAGGTGTCCCTGCCCGTGGCAGGGGGGTTGAGCTAGATGGTCCCTTCCAACCCAAACCATTTTATGATTTAAGATATCAGTTCATATAAAAGAATCGATGCATTTGTTTCTATACATATTGCCATTTGTTTGTCCATAAATCATCCTTTCTGTCCCTGCAGAAACCTGGCTGTGTGGCTGCTTCCCAATTCTAAGTCTCCTGCTTGCTGAGCTCTCCTGCAGACTAACAGGTTCTCCTCGCTGAGCATGCTCTGTTGCTCTGTGCAGTCTTTTCTTCCAGAACCGCTATAGCTAGGAGAGGACTAACAGGTACTCCCCCATGCTCTCTTACCCCCTAGTTACACAGTAGTAAGAAACTTTGCATGCATTTATTTTTTAGTAATAGAGATTGAACTAATGATTATTTGGGAAAACTATTTTGTCATTGCTGAGACAGAAAAAAGCTACAAAGTTACAGCATCTCAACATAAATCAACTCTACTAACCAAGAAACCATTACGAAGAGATTTGTCTTTTAGACTTATTATGTAGAGTTCAGTCAAGGGAAAAAAAAAAAAAAAAAAAGCAAACAAACAAAAACTGGCATGTTATAGACAATAAAACAACACCACCATCAAACTGATTAGACTATAATCAGAAGTTTGGTGGAGGTACTGGGTTTGGCCACCATACCAGTTATCCATTTCAGTCTTTGTTATCTTGTTTTTGTATAGCTCTAAAATGCATTGAATTTGTTTTTCATGTAAAAAGGCCAAACTGAAGTGTGATCTGATTTGCATCTTTATTAACCCCACAAGAAATTCTTTTTGTATGCTTCTCATTCATTCGGTTCTCATCATTCTTGTGTCTTCAATAGCTGCAGAACAACCACATGCAAGAATATGAAAAAGATCTGTGCATTTCTCAAAGATAGTTCGAGGATGAATGGAGTAGGGGAATAATTGGGCAAAAGGAAAAGATAGGGAATTAGATGTCAGAATGGTGAAGACATTAGAATACAAAGCTATGCTAACAAGTTAGCAGTGACTATGTGCATTTCCAGTCAGCTAGAGTCCCTTCACCCAGTCGTTTCATTTCAGATTCTGCCCTCGTTGCTTTGGAGGCAATACACACACTGCCATGAAATTTCTCCCATGTTGTATGATGGGAGCCAACAAGCCAATGAAGCTACAGATTTGATGAATTTCCATGTACACGTATAACCTGGTGTGTGCCCTGGGTCCATTCTGGTGATGAAACAATATGTCTTTGAGAAATACTCTAAAGTCTTTTGACTCATCCTTTTTTCCACCTATTTTTTATGGGCATACCTTTTTTTTTTATTATTTAAACCTTTGTTACCTAAGTCCTATCCCTTCCTTTTATTTTCTTTCCATTTCCATTTAAACCAGAATTTCTCCTCACATCTCCAATTCAACTCCTTTTTCAAAATTGAGTTTGTGAGTCTTTATCCTTCTAGAATCTACCTTTGGAACATTTTCATGTGGATATAAGGGTGATGTTTCATCACTGCTCTCTTTTAGCAGTATCTGCTGAGAAAGAATCCTGGTTGGATGTATAGTACGGATATTAAGTGTTTAAATATGAACTCTAGTGTTTTATTCATGGGCAATATATGACCAAGGGTCAGAAGTTTCTCCAGTTTTGTTTAGCCCATGGTCTCTTTGAACCCATGGCACTGCCACCTTGGAATTCGCTCACCCAGGTTTTTTTCACGGGACTCTCATCATCCACCGCCTGTGCGAGAGGGGGGCAAGATGGCCTATCCCAGGGCAGCCTTGCGTCCGGAGGAGATGCTCGGAGGACGCGTTTAGATGCGGGTCCAGGGCAGGGAAGAGGAAAGGAGAGGCGAGGCGATGCGGGAGGCAGGGGCAGGCAGGAGCAGCCCGGCCGCTGCGCTCCAGGTGGCGGCACCGCGCCGCCAGGGGGCGCCTCCCCCCCGGCCCTCGGGCAGGTGCGGGGCTGCGCGGCCCGGAGCGCCCCGGGCACGGAGGGGCCTGGCCGGGAGCAAAAAGTGGGAAAAACTCCGCCTGGCCCCGCAGCCCCTCGGTCAGCCGCAGGGAGATCTCCCTCGCTGGCGCAGAGCTGCAGGGAGGGGTTCTCAGCCCATCAGGAGTTGTCCCATTGTAAGCAACGCTATATTTATCCCTCAGCTTCTCCGATCAGATCAAAACTCGTGGTAAGAGGTGGAATTAGTATTTTATCTTTTTTCTTCGCAAGGTTTTAAGCTTTGGTTACAGCACAGTCTGTTGTGTTCATTTAGATCCTTTTCGCACGGCTCTCGCCCACGCTGTTGATAAGCAGGGGAGCCTGTACGGGTGTCATTTACATGACTTTCAGCCAGAAAAGGGGGGAGCTGAGGCAGTGTGGGGGCCTCCTGCGTCTCTGAAGTGCAAATTGCACCAGCTGAGATGTCTCAAATACCTGTTGAGTAGGAGTAAGAAAGTTCCAGTGATAGCTAAATAAGTAGAATATAAGAATTTTGAAGTTAAAAAAAAAAAAAAAAAAGACAACAGAAGCCCACACTGCTGAATTTGACATGCCAAATCAAACATGGCCTATGTAATAAATCTCTCCACCTAATTCAGATGTTGAGCCTGCCTTGAACATGCGTGCTTAGCTGGGATATATGGATCATTTTCTAGGCTACAGTGTATAGTGTACTATATTGCAATCTCTTGCCCAGACCTAATCGGTCTAAAATATTGCAGCCAGGCTCACTTCTGATGAGATTCCACTGCCTGAATTTCATCATTGTTCAGAATCAGATCTAATCCCCGTCTTATTTCTGTTTACACTGCCTAGGGAGTTAGAGTGCCAACTCTTCGTGCTTCACTTATTATAAAACTCAAACATTCTCCCATTGACATATGGTCCTAGAAGCACCAACATTCACATACCAAATGAATATTAAACTCATGTGCCTGCTCTTACAGTGATCCTAGATTGTGATTTCACCATTCATACTATCTGGTGGTCGTATGAACTTAAAGTACTCCTGCCCCTCTTTCCTCTCGTTCTGTTATTCCTGACCTGCTGTGCTTTGTTGTTTGTTTGTTTGGTTGGTTGGTTTGGTTTTGGTTTGGTTTTTGACTGTTTTTATCTTTGGAGAAAGGATTTTCAATGGCAAGACAAGTTCCCTCACCCAGTTCACATTCTATGAATGTTTCTGCTGATAAGACAGTGGATTGACAACAGGTAGTGAGAAGCAAGCAGAAATACTTCAGCTTGTTTCGTGAACAAATTAAACGGTTATCATTTTGATGAGCACTTACAAAACCATTATACCTGGGGACACGTCCCATACAGATTCCTCGTGCTAGAGGTGTTTCTAGTTAGTATTTGAGCTTACTGCTCCATGAACCTGCATTTGTCCAACACAGCATGCCATGTGTGCACAGCAACTGTATTGAAGAGCACACCTTCAGTACACGTGTCTGTAGCACAGGTACCAGCTGTACAAAGCGGGTAATAAATGTCCTCAGGGAAACACTTTTAGATCCTGATATGAACTTCTTGAAGCCAGTGTAAGGGTTGTCACCAATGCCGTTTTGTGCTCAGTCGTGGCAGTTTTTAAAGCAGGCAGCTGGTACCTGCTGCCTTGAGATCAGGGGCATTTCAAAACGCAGCTGGGACTTCTGTGCAGCACTCCCCTTCCTGCCGCCTTTTCTCCACCCCCGATACTTCAAAGGTTTATTTACCTAAGCATAACATTTCTCTTGAGTATAAAACGAAGCGGTACTTTCAAATTTAAGCAAGTGCCCAAGTCCAGCTCCGTTCTGAGCCGCAGCACAGCTCTGGCCGTGGAAGCGTGCCTCCGTGCGGCTTCGCCCTGCTGGGCAAGAGCTGCCCCTGTCCTTGTGGCGGAGAGGGGCACGGCGCTTACCCTGCGCGCTGCCCCGGAGGGGCTGAATCCCACCTCCTGGCTCTGCCCCCCGCTTCCCACCGCTTCGGCATCCCCCCCGGAGCTCCTCGCCTTGCCGGGGCCGTGCCGTCGGAGCCGGAGAATCTGAGGCAAGGCGGGCTGCGGGCGGGGTCTGGCTGATGTAACAGGAAGCCCCGCTGGCTGCCTGCCGCCGCTCCCCGCTCCCCGTCCCCAGCTGAGGCGCTCCCGCTGCTGCCCGAGCAGCGCCGCGCTCCGCCGGGCGCCACTGCCCCGCAGCCAGCGGCACCAGCGAGCTGCCAGCCGCCGGGAGAGCAGGAAAGCCGAGGCAAAGCCAGCCAGAGCCCACCAGAGTTGAGCCTGGTGAGTACGCAGCCAAACGGTCCTGTTTTTTTTACCTAAAACCGTTTTTTATTTTTTTTCTGTGCCGACTGAAGGGATCCGGGCTTAGCGCCGTTGCGTGCTTTTCCCTGGGGTCTGCGGGGAGAAAGGGGTAGGAGGAAAAGCCACCTTCATTTGTAAGCGCTGTGCTGGTTTTGGAAGTAGTGGTGCTGTATAGATCCTCGAGGAAGCGATCAATGATAGGGAGAAAGAGAGATAAAAATACCGTAATCAGCACTTAAAGGATTCTGCCTAAAACCGTAATATTAGCTAACCAAATTTCTGTCGTTGCAGCTGGAGAGAATTAGAGACATATGGGTTTGAAAAGGGTCCATGAGACTAATTCAATACAACTGGAGCTCTTTCAAGAGAGGACGAATTAGGTGATAAACTTGTTTAAATTTTCTTACTGAATATTCCTTTAATCTTATTGATGTTATTATACCGGAAAGAGATCGTATTTGAGTTATTTCATAATTAGGTTTCGCGTTGTAATTACATGACTGAAAAGATGAAGCTCCTGTTTTGTCTGGACTTCCTATTTGCTTGAGAAAAAGTTAGCTTGAGTTTAGTGCTTGTGCGTGTGCTGGGGTGTTACTGCTGAGATTTTTCCCACACGCACCAAACTGATTTATTGAGGGTTGGCTGTCTACTATTTCATTGCTTTGGGAAACTATTGGCCAGGGGGAAGTGTGTGGTTCTGTGCTTTCCAGTACAGAGTTAAGAGGGTCATGCCACTTCTTCATCTTTGCAAAGCTGATGAGGTACCCTCAGTTTTTACAAGTCCGGTTGCGTTATTGTGATGATCCCTTTTGCTACGTGTAGTCATTTGCTTGTCTGTGTAAGCAATGGATCTGCGGAATCAGGGAATCTTCTTTCTGAAAGATAGTTAAGAAACAATGTAAATGTTAAATCTCACTTGGATTTGATCTGCAGTGATTCATTTAGTCATCCATATATTTCTACAGGGACTGAGATTGAAATAAAAATAGCTGTGGTTTTGTTGCTTTCTACCTTAAAAAGTCGTGCCAAATATGTTGGGGCCAGATTTTGCTCCTACAGTTGTGCCAATGACAACTCTTTCCAGTCATATTGTGCATCCTGGGGATCTTGTCATTCATTTGCAGTAGTAATGTATACAACAATTTAAAGCTGTTGGACTGGTAATGTGCTAAAAGCCTGATTGTTGTGCTCTGAGGTCCTTTCAGTGGGTTGAAAGAAGACACACTAGTTCTGGATAAACGTGAATGAGACCAGATTTGAATCCGTGTGTTTTCTTTCAAAATACACATGCTGCTACACTGCCTGAAATGCTCAACTAAAAGTAATGATTGGTATTTCCATTATACTTCTGCGATCTACTGATACTGTCAATGACTTTGCTGCATCAAATCTCAAAATCTTTACCTAGCTTCAAAGATCTTCAACACAAAAGGCACTTGGTGGTACTAAACCAAACAAGATGGCACTTGAAAAAAATGTTCACGTTGTTTTAATGATTAGTGCAGTAGGAACAATGGTCTTCAGAAGTATTTCAGCTAGATGATTGAAGTTCTTGCCTTATGCTCTTCTCAAGTAACTAGTTTAGGTTTGGTGGTACTGCCTACGTGTGAAGTGTTAAACGTTTATGTTTTCGGATGCCAGGACCGACAGTATTTGCAGACAAAGCAAAGACAGTGACAGGGTGATGATGTAGAACAGTTTGACTGTACAAAACCAAGTACCTGAATATATAGCTTGGGTTGCAAGTTCATGGGTTGCATTATGTCTGTCCTGTTCAAATGTTGCTGTACTCCAAATTCCCGATCAGCTAGCATCTTGCTCTGCATTAAGAAATGTAATGTTTGTCCCTTTGAATAGGCTTTTCCTGATAGAGGCACAACTGTTGGAATCCTGACCCGCTGAGAGCCAGTGGGAATTTTTCCACTGACTGTCAAAAGGGCAGGATATTCCTCAATGTGGGTATTTTTTTTGAAGGATGTATTTCATGTGGTTACAGACATTATCCATCCATTAACTGACGTACTGTGATCTATTGGCAGCTGTGTTTTTGATAATTTCCATCACTTTTGAATGCCCAATCTGTAAAACACAAATCTGCACATCTTGTTCTTGGTGACTAGTGACTTACCAGGCTAAACAACAGGGTTTACTCAGGGAGAGCAGTACCGTTCTGTGGGCTAACCGAGTCCTGTGATCCAGCTTTAGACAAGGATACAGGTAAGAACAAAACCAAAAGAAGAAAAGCACTCATACACTTCTTTTGCTGCTACTATAGTAACTTAGTTCTATATTCTGTGCATTCCAGTCAGTTGGCTGATTCCAACAACACTTGTAGCATGTGCAAGAGCTGGGTAGGACTGGGCCAACAAGGGTCTATGAAATCACACAGATAAAGGATTCAAACCAGTCCAGTCATTTGGAAGAAACTATTGCTATCAATATGTTCTTAATAGTAAAATGTACACAGTGGTATTTTAGAAGTATATATTTAATCACTCATTTGGTCAGTACTGGTCGTAGGATAAGCTATTATGAAGGAAACTGGTGGAATTTCTCCAGTGAGAGGTCTGAGTCTGAAGTTAGGAAACAAAATAGAATTTCTCTTTAAGAAGTTGTTCCCATCTGTTCCCAACGTGTTTACAGTGTTCTTGATCTGCTAGCAAAACTCCTTCAGTGCTTCTGATCAGCAGCCACTCCGACAGAGCACGTTTGCTGTACGGGCACTACCGTAGTGTTAGGGCCCCCTCTGTTGTGAAGGCGTCTGTAGCTCTGCCACTGGGTTTCAGATGTCTGAGTTGCCTCAGCTGGGCTTTGCACTCGCTTAGTTGCTCATGTAACTGTTTTAGCGAATTGTCAGAACTCTGGACTTCACTATATCCTTATGTTATTTTTGTTATTTAATTATGTGCAATATATCTATCTTGTGCCGATTTTTTTTCTTAATGTGTCAGCTAAAGAGGGAACATACATGTTTCGAAAGAGACTTAGAAAATAAGTTTTAAACCTTATTCTTCATTTAGAAAGCTGTGAATCATGTCAGCTTTTTAAATTGAACACGTTTGAATGTTGATTTAACATTTAGAAGAAAAAGGAGAAAGCAAGCCTTTTTTTCCCCATTTTTTTTATAATCACGTTGACAATGCTAGTGTGTTGACAATATCAGCATAAAAATTAAAACCCATTAAGTGTAATGCATTGCACAAAGAGCAACAGAAATTAGCCTATTACTTAGTTTCAGGGAGAATTCCACAGCCAGTGCAGTACAATGCAAGGTCTTCTTAATATGTTTATTTCCGTTATTTTCTTTCAGCAGCATTTTTTCTTTTTGTTCTATTTTAGAACTAAGACAAAACTGGAAGGCTAAATTTTAGCATTTTCATTCAGTTGTGTTTTCACTATTATCTCTCATGCATATCTGCTTTGGTCTCCCAAGCTTGTTTATACTGTTTACATTTTCCCAGCAAAGTCATTCTTTTTCTGCCCTAGTTCTGTGCAAACACTTTCAATCATTGCTGCGGCATATGCTGTCCAAAAGAGCAGAAATGATTTATTTAGAGTTGCTTTTCCTTGGAAAGATGCATTAGAAATCCATTTAAACAAATGTAATGCATTAAAAAAAGACTTTCCATGAGAGTAGCGATGTATTCACTACAAGAAAGAGAAAACAGATTTTTAACTTGTGTAAATTTGTATGTTTCTCTGATGCTATTACCTTTTAATGTAGCATAGATGTCACCCAAGGCTTTTGGGCAGTTTTGGCCACTATAAAGCTTTAGCTGACAATTAGCATACTACTTGGATTTAAAAAAAAAAAAAAAAGTCAATGTTATATTTCTGGATTTATGCCTGGAGCATGCAGCCCTTATTTAGAGAAAAAAAAAAAAAAAATCCCAATTAAAATTAGTGACAGAGTTTTGTTTAATGAAACCCATACCGGTCACTCTGACTTCCTATGTAATGCCAAAGACAAGGAACTGCACACTGTGATTAGTGAATTTTATTTGGATTTATTTTTTTCCAAGCTACTACTTCAAATGCTGTGGTATACCATCAACTGCATTTAGGTGGAAGATAAATTTTTTTAGGAACTAAAAAGGTATTGCTTTCAACGTATTCTTTGATAATTCCGCACTTGAAAAGTGTATACACTTGATGCTTCGATGAGCATAAGGTGTCACTTTTTGCATCGCACCTCAGGTTTTTGTCTCCCCTAATAGTGTGGTAAAATCTTAGAAATTCATTTGAATTCATTTTGGTTTAGAGTGGCAATGCTGGTAGAGTTTCATTAAAGTAAAGCAAACGATGTACTGAGCAGATACTTGTTCTACACAAACTTATGTGTTTTAGGCTTTAGTTGTTTGGTTTTTTTCCTTTGTTATCAATATTATGAGAAATGCATATAGTTTGTCTCCCCATGTTGTTGTGCTCCACAGTCCTTCCTAAATAGAAATGAAAAATATATATGCATCAGGCGTGAATAAGACGTCTAGATGTCGTACTGCTTTCCTCTATTGTTGCATTTATGTATTTATTTACTGTCCTAAATGTAGCAAAAAAAAAGTGACTTGATACATTTTCTTTATTTTTTTAACAAAAGGACATGGTTTTGCACAGATTATTCTTAAACGTTCTGTATAATGGGGAGATCTGCCCTTTTGTTTCTGTTAGTGAAATCCAGCAGGTGTCACTCTGGGGATTAAGTAAGGAATATTTCACAAGCAGATATAAACTTAGTTGGGAGATACTGAATGTATAAGTATTTATTCCAGTATATTTTTCCAGAGTAGTTTTTTTTTGCCCATGCCATTTTAATTTTTCAATATATTTTCTAAATTACTTGATTTAACATATGCATTAATCCTTCTGAGTATCTGTTTGAACGTGAACAATGAAACATCAGTTCAGTGAGAAGTTGTACTCATAGGTGTCAAATTGGAAGCATGAACAGGAAATTAGTTGAACGTTGCCTTTATGATAATAAAAAATGCTTTTTCATCTTCTCTGGGAATCAAAATTATTCTTTTTGTCAGTGGAAATTCTAGTTGCACAAGTAATATGTTTATTTGTTAAAGCAGTCCGCATATTGGTTTTTATTTATATTCAAAAATGGTATTATGGGGCAGTTAACTATACAGTTTCATAGTAATCATATTTGGAGAAAGGAAACTTTCACAGTGCACCTAGTTGCTAGTATAAGAAAGCCAATGATGTATTTTTTGTAATGAAAATAAGGGCTTATTTGTTAATTGCACAAAGTGTTCCTCTAGAAAGCAGAGTAACATGTTTGCTGCATTTTTGTGGACTTTAACTTAAGCGTATAACTCAGTAGTCTATGGAATAGGAACATAATTGTTATGAACTTGTGGGTTTCTAGAGGGAA